CTCAGTGTTAGCATTAACCTGGTTCTGGACACTGATTTTGAGGCTTTTCCCCTCCAGGACAGTTACCTTGGTGATGAGTTTAAATCCCAGATTGACGTGGCCCTGTCACAGGACTCAACTTACCAGGGGGAACGAGCTTATCAACATGGTGGAGTGACGGGACTGTCACAGTATTAGAGTGTAAGGACCAAATGGGAGCCTGCTCGGGGAAAATCCCTCACTGGAACTGTCCCCTCCCTGATTTAAACTGTCCCTGCCTCACTGGAACTGTCCCCTCCCTGATTTAAACTGTCCCTCCCTCTGATTTAAACTGTCCCTCCCTCACTGGAACTGTCCCCTCCCTGATTTAAACTGTCCCTCCCTCACTGGAACTGTCCCCTCCCTGATTTAAACTATCTCCTCCCTCTGATTTAAACTGTCCCTCATTTAAACTGTCCCTCCTGCCATTTAAACTGTCCCCTCCTCCTGATTTAAACTGTCCCCTCCTCCTGATTTAAACTGTCCCCTCCCTGTCATTTAAACTCTGATTTAAACTGTCTCCTGTTTTAAGCTGTCCCTCCTCACTGTCCCCTTGCCCTGATTTAACCTGTCCCCCCCTAATTTAATCCTAATTTAAGCCCTGACTGAGCTCTCCTTGTGCCCCCCAGGTTGAGGAAGAAGAGCTAAGCTTGCGTGGAGCTTAGTTCATCAGCATTTTATTCTGGGTAATAAAAAAAATAAAATAAAATGGATACCTGTTTTCCACTGCTAAAACTGAAGCACCACTGTGTGAGAGCAACAGGAGAAAAGAGAAACCAACCAACAGAGAGAGGAGAGAGAGAGAAAAGGAGAGAGAGGAGCACGTGAGAGCCACTGCTGGAGCTCACTGAGACACGGAGACTGCGAGAGGACACGGAGCCCTGGAGGATTGGCTGCTCCTCGAGGGAAGGAACTCACCCCAAGGAGGGCTCAGCTGAGCCCCTGCTCCCACAGCCACCCCCAGCTCCGGAGAAGGGCCTTAAAAAACAAAACAAAAAGCAGGTTTCACTTCATTCCATACTTCTCTTTCGTGAGCAGGGCATGTGAAACTTTTCAGAGCAGATGGGGGAGAGGAAAACCCTCATCTCAGAGTTGGGCTCGTTTTTTCGTGAGGGGTATTAAAAGAAAAAAAAATATTTTAGCAGGAACTGTTTACATTTTAGAAGCAGAGTATCTGAGAGAGAGGAGAGGGGGAAAAAATGTAAAAAAAAAAAAAAAAAGAAGAGAAAGTCCCTGCCTGGGTGACAGCCAGCCAAGCAGAAATCAGCTGCTGCTCAACTCTGAGGTGCAGGTTTTGTTGTCCAACACTGGCTCTGAAATTTGGTGTCATCGTGTCGCCCACATTCTGAACGAGGTGGTTTTAAAAGAGATTCTTTCAAAAAGAGCACTGAAATTTTTTTAAGAAGTTTTGTCTCTGAATTCTTAGTGGTGGACCTGGGAGATTTAGATCCTTGTTCTGAGAAGCTTATATTACAAAAAAAAAAAAAAAAAAAAAAAGTTTCAAACAAAAATTAGAGCACCATCCTTGAGAACTTTCAGTGTGATTTCAAGTTGCAGCAATCAGCCTCTTCTTCCTGGGATAGCAGTTGAGAGTGAGAGGAGCCTGCGTGCTCGAGCAGGAGGGTTTCAAAGTGTTTTCTGTTTGCTTTAATTGGCAACTGTCTGGACTCTACTCTGTGAACAAACAGCCTTTCTGTCAGATGAACTTTATGCTTGAAAGGGGACGGGTTCCTGTGCCCTTCGGCCCTGGAGGGAAGGTGCAGCCAGGCCTGCTTTGGTCCCCACAGCTTTGGGGCAGGAGAAGTGGAAATTGGGGATTATTTTGGGTCAGGAAGTGAAGACTCCATTGGCAGGAGCAGGATGGACAAACGGACAAAGCAGGCAGGTGGTGGAAGGTGGTGGCCTCTGAGAGAGAGCTGGGTTTAATTTGGGAGGATGGGTCAGGCTTTGGGTGATGGATGGAGGCACGAGAGGGACAGAGGGAGGTGTTGGAGCAAAGTTTTCATTTTGAGGGGGGGAAAAAAAAAAGGTTTGGAAGAAAACTTTGCTTTGTGAGATGGGAAGTTGTGAGCCCAGCTGGGGATCAGGGCTGGGAGGAGCCCACGAGGAGGAGCCAGGGCTGAACACTTGGGAGCTTTTTCATTTCTGCCAGAACCTCCTTAGGAGCAGCACAGAGAGAATCGATTCCTCCAGCCCCAGTTTGAGATCCCCGAGTTAGAATCGCCTCTGCCTCCCCATTGGCAGCAGCAGACACTGATGCAGAGCCTGGCTGTTCCCAGGCTGCAGTTCAGCTTTACACTCAAAGGGCTCCAAGTGTTTCTAGTCCTTTTTTTTGGGGGGGGAAACTCAAAATACCTCTCATCTGAATGTACTTCAAACAGCTCAAAGCCCATTTTTGTACCTGGGGAGGGGGGAAACCTTTTCATTCCTGTCCTTCCTGGAGACCCCTGCCCTGGATTTGCTGGATTTGCCCCCAGAGCAGCCCTGGTGTGGAACCACCCCCAGCCCCGGGGAGGGGGGAGAAACTGCAGAAACTGCAAAAACCACAAAAAAAAAAAAAAAAAAAAACTGCAAAAAAACCACAAAAAAACTCACTAAACCCATTCTTTTCTCATCCAAAGCCTCCAGAGTTTAGACTTCTAAAACCAGTGAAAGAATGGAGACACAGGCCACCTTCCTTCCTCGTGAGATGGACTTGTTTTATTTATTAACATTGCCGAAGGGCTTTTTAATTTGTTTTTTTTCCTTCGTAGGCTGCGTAGTGGCGTAGAATTTTCGGGTAGGTTTAAGCTGAACCCCTCTGTGCAAAGCTATCCATGAGTAATGTAGCCCCCTCCTCTCCCCTCACCCTTTATTTCACTGCTGGGAATGCTTGCCTCTGCTTCGTGCTGGTTTTTTTTTCCTTTGTAGCAGTTCAAACTCTTGAGTTTTACAAATCCAGACATCAGTGCTAGCACGGTGTTAAAACTCTTCGTTTTTTTTTCTTTTTTTTTTTTTTAATTAATTGATTTTTTGTCTCAGTTTTGTTTTAAAACCTGTTTGTCATCAATAAAAAAAAAATATGAATAAACAGCTCTTGCATTCAAGGTGGCCCCTAAGTTTCAATGAGGAAACCATGCAACATTCATTAAAGCTTTAGTCTGATTGTATAAACTTCAAGTTTATTACTTTTTTTAAACACAAGACTAGTACAAAAGTGGGGTGTGCATAGCAGAGGGGGTGAGCAACTCAACTGGGAGAACTGGGAAAACTGGGAAGTGCCCCCCCCTCCCCAGGGTTTGGGAAAAGCTTCCAGCCTGGAAGCAGAAATGGCTTTGCCCTGCCAGGCCCAGGGCTGGGGGGCTCCAAGCTGGGTCTGGGGGGGTTTAGGCCTGGCCTTGGCACCACCCAAGGGCACAAACTCAGGCCAGGGTGAGCCCAGGTCCTGTCCTGGCTGTCACAAACCCAGGAACGCTGCAAGGTTTTCTTCTTCTGCCCTTCTGAAATCAGAATTGAATGGCTCCTGCTGGAGCTCAGCCCTTCAAACACTGAAATGGGTGGGAAACACCTGGATTTGGGAATGTGAGTCCAGCTAAAGCTGCTCCAGGTCCTCAGCTCCACATTTTGGGTGTTGAAAAAAAAAAAAAAAATCACCAAAAATGGACCCCCAGTGGTTAAACCCTCAGTGCTTCCCCAGGGGGAGGAGGTGAGAAAACTTCATCAGACCTCAGAGACACAACATCGGTACAAAACAGCAAAAAAAAAAATAAAAACCAAAGCTGCACTACGGGTTCACAGTTCAAAAATAAAGAGAAAAAATTCAAGTCTAACTCGGATTCCTTTTCAGTTCCCCCGAAATCCCAGAAGTGGCAGGGGAGCCTCACTCTGGTGGTTTTTACCCTCAGGGAACAGCTCAGGAGCTGAGCCTGGGCTCCAAACCTCGGGAAAAGCCAGAGGCCACAGGCTGGAAGGGGGAGAGAAGCCAAGGAAGGGAAATGGCCCAAATTTGGGTCCCTGCTGCCCCCCCTGCCTCGAGCTCAGTGACACCACAAAGGGCCTGAGGCTGCCAGCCAGCACAAAAACCAGCAAATAACCAGAAATAATCGCAAAAAGCAAAAGCTCCGTGCTCTGCCCTTGCCCGAGGCTCGGCTGCCACACTCGGGGACACTCAGGGGACACCCTGGGCTCATTGTTCTGCTAATGAGGTAAATTAATTAATACTGACTAGGAGGGAGGAGATGCCCCTGACCCCAGCACACCCCCCTGGATTCCCTCAGCCACATTCCCTGCCCTTGGCACGCAGCTCCCAGGGGATTTTTTAGGTAAAATCTCCATTTTTTAGGCAAAACCTTCCAGTGCATTTGGCCACCCAACACAAGCCCTGTCCCCAAAGCACCCCATCACCAACACACCCCAAAATCAGCTCCCACAGCACAAGAGGAGCTCCTGCCTGGCTCTGCCTCTCCTGGGGAGGGATTTTGGTCACCCCATCCCTGTCCCTGCAGCTGGGAACCCCCAGCCCCGTTTCACCCAGAAAAATCATTTATACCCTGAGAAACTGCAGAGTTCAGCCCAAACCCCAAAGAGCTGCAGCCCTGGCAGTGCCTGGCACGAGCAAGGGGGGAAATCTGGGATTCACAGCCCGGTGCCACCATCCCCTGTGGAGAGGGAAACCAGCACCAGGCTCGGTCATAACCCCATGAATTCCATAAATCCCATCCCAATCCTAAACTAATCCTAAACCAGCTCCAGCAACGCCCCCTTGGTGCCAGCCTAACCCCACTGCAGAGAGGAGCCCCCAGTGCTCTGAACCGCCCTGAACACAGCGGGGATTTCACCAGCGGGGTTTATTCCACCCACCCACCCCTGTCCATCCTCCATCCATGGATCCATCCATCCTCCATCCATGGATCCATCCATCATCCATCGATCCATCCTCCATCATCCATCCATGGATCCATCATCCATCCATGGATCCACCCACCCATCCCCACCAAACCCCGCTACCTGCAGCCACACTCATCCACCACCATGTCCTGGTAGTGCCGCAGCACCACGTTGTCGCTGTTGTCGTAGTAGAGCATGGAGATGGGCGAGAGGCGCACGGGCACGCAGCAGGGCTGGGGCGTGCCCTGCGGGTCCAGCGAGTGCACCATGGTCTGCAGCACGGCGTGGTTGGTGCTGTTGAGCTCCGCCGCCAGCGGGAAGGGACAATCCCCGCCGCAGTAATTGGCCAGGTAGCCCTGGGGGGCGATGATCCAGTTCTCCCAGCCCACGTCGCTGAAGCTGATGTAGAGCCGGCGGGGCTTGCACAAAGGGCTGGGGGTCAGCGGGGGGCTTGGGGCGCTCCTCCTGCTGCGGCCGGCGCGGCACTGCTGGCCCAGGGTCACCACCAGCAGCGAGGTGGCCGAGAAGGCGTCAGCGCTGGCACAGAGGCTCCGCAGGCTCCCGCTGGCCCCGGCCCGGCCGCTCGCAGAGATCTCCAGCACCAAAGCCAAGCTCCTGCCCGGCATCTTCAGCGCCGCGCTCAGGTTGAAGAGCAGGGATTTGTGCAGATGGACAAACGAGCGCTCCACCAGCGGCCTCCGGCCGGGCTGGGGCTGCGGCAGCCCCCGGGGCGACGCCTGGTAAAGCCGGAGCTCCAAAACCTGCCCCGGGCCGGGGGCCTGGTAGGAGTTGTGGTGGAACTGGAGCTCCAGCTGGGCCATGGTCAAGCGCTCGCCCTCCTCCAGCACCGAGAGGTTGAAGAACAGGAGCTTCCGCAGACACAGCCACCCCTGGGGCTGCCCCTCGGGGAGGAAGCGGCCTGACAAAGAAGGAGAAACAGGGGTGGGGGTGGCTGAACGCTTGGGCCGGGCAGGATCGGCTCCAGGGCCGGGCAGGATCAGCTCCAGGGATGGTTTGGAAGCCCCCGAGGGTTCCCAGCCCTGCAGGCACGGCCGGGCCGGGCTGTGGCACGGGGGACTCTGGGGCCGCTCCAGCAGCTCCTCTGGACGCTGCTCCACATCTCGGGGAATTGTTTTCCTTCCCCCTCCGCCTGCCCCGGGCTGTGGATCCCGGCTCTTTGGGATGGACGGGGAAAAGAGGGAGAGCAGCAGCGAATTTGGGGAGCTGCCTGGTTCAGCCAGCCCGAGGAAAACTGGAACCACGAGAGGAAAAAGCTCTGTGGTGCCTTGAGACCTCGGGGGCGCCAATCCAGCAGTCCCCAGGGAACTGAGAACGGCTCAGGGCAGCCAGATGTGCCCTGGGGTCAGCCAGAGGTGTCGGGACAATGAGGAGAGGGGAGGACACCGCCCGAGGGCCGAGCATCCCATCCCTGCTCGAGCTGGTGCTGATCCCATTCCTGCCCCACATTCCCACTCATCTCCACCACCCGGGACCCCAAAGCCTGGGATCAGGACTGGGATCAGGACTGGGATCAAACCAGCACCTCGGGAGGGATTTAGGGGGCTCCAGGACAGAGCCTGGCCCAGCTGCCCCCCTCACCCCCAACCTGAGGCTTCCAAACCCAGAAATCATCACCGACAGCGTCCTGGGGGACGGGGCACAGCCGGGACTTCTCCTGGAAAAGCTCCGGGGCTCAGGACACCGGGAAGGAAGGAGCGGAGCCAAGGCTCGGTCCCGGGGAAAGCCCCAAACGCGGCGAGGCTGTACCTTGGTCAGCGAAGACCCGGACGATGTCCCCGGGGACATTGAGCTCCTCCACCCTGCAGGAATCGCGCTCCTTGTCCGGCCAGGGCAGCGCCTTCCTCTTCTGGAACATCCTCCAGAGCACGGGCGGCACCGGCACCGGCTTTTTGGGGCTGGGCTTGGCGCTCAGACCCAGCGATTTCAGCAGGGAATTTTCCTGCGGGCTCAGCTCGGTGGCCAGGACGGGGCTGAGCAGAGCCCAGGCCAGGCTGCGGAGGAGCCACATCGCCGCTGCGCTGGCCACACAAAGGGCAGAGGCCGCGCTGGGCCCCGGGGGCGGCTCGGAGCCTTTGATGGGCTCGGTGCTCAATGAGGCCGCGGGCTGGCGGCTGGGGGAGGGTGCGATCGCCCCAGGCTCCCCCGCACCCCTTTAACCCTTTCAGGATCGATCTCCTCCGTCCTTCCCGCATCTCCACTCGGGCTCCAGGGATGGGGATGGAAAATCCAGCGCTGTTCCCAAAATCTCTGCCCGGAGCCGGGGGCAGACCTGGAGCCGGCTCTTCCTCCCAAAAATTCTCTTTTTTTAACTCAATCACGGCGTCCAACGCTTCTCTCTTAAAGCCATCAAGCTCCAGCACATCAAACCATCAAAGTCCTGCCTTGCACAGCCCCAAAAACCATCAGCCCCAGAAATCACCAGTCCCTGTCTCAGCCAGGCACCCCCAGGTCCCCTCCCGGCCATCACAGCACAGCTGTCCCCACCACATCGATGTCACCTCCCCCAGAACCCACCCAGCTCAATGCCAGCCCTGGAAAATTCGGGTTTACCCCTCAAGGTCAGCTCAGCTCTGCTCCGGCCCAGCCTGGGGGAGCAGTTCCCATCCTGCCCTCAAATCCCACTGAATTCCCAAGGAATTCCAGCACTGGGGTGCTCCCCGGGCACCCTGCAAGCCACGGAGAGAGTGACAAAGTCCTGTCACAGCTTGGGGACATTTCCACCGGCCCCACTCAGGGCCCTTCCCTGGCTCAGACACAGCAAGTCTGGAGGGGAATCACCGGGACCAAACATGGAAAAATCGCACAAATCCCCACCCTCACACCGGGAATGAATGTCCTGAACAGAGGGGAGGGGACAGCGAGGGGACAGCGAGGGGACAGCGGGGTCTGAGGGAGTCAAACCCACAGAACTGCCCAGCACGGGGAGCTGGGAAAGCTGCAGGGATGGAACTGCCTGGAAATCCAACCCAGGGGAGCAGCAAGTCTCTGTTCTTCTTGGAAATCCAACTGAGGAGCAGGAATTCTCTATTTTTCCTGGAAATCCAAGCAGGGAGCAGGAATTCTCTGTCCTTCCTGGAAATTCAACCCAGGAGAGCAGGAAGTCTCTGTTTTTTCTGGAAATTCAACCCAGGGGAGCAGGAATTCTCTGTTTTTTCCTGGAAATCCAGCTGGGGGGAGCAGGAATTCTCTGTTCTTCCTTCAGCAAGGGGACAGTCCTGGGGGCAGGGACCTGCAGGACTCTTTTTAAGCCACTCCAAGACCTCCACACGGGGTTTTCCAAGCAAATCCAACCTCCTGGGCCTCCTCCAGAGGGCTGGGATGGAGCTCCTGGGGTGGATTTCCAGGCAGAGCTGCCCGTGGGAGGTGACAGGGACTGTCCCAAGGGCCACCTCTGCAGTCCCAGCTGGCCTTGGGCTCCCCAGGACAGGACAGGACAGGACAGGACCTTTCCCTGCCCAGTTTGGAGCTGGAGCCTGCAGGAGCAGCTGGGAAGGGTCAGAGGGAGGAATCACAGCAGGGCTGAGAACGTGGAGCAACAGCAGGGGACACAAAGCCAGCCCCAAATCCTACCTGGGCCAGCAGAGCCAGCGGGCTCCTGGCCACACGGGGCCACAGGAGCCCCCCCAGGCACAGGGGACAGTGGCAGCCCCGAGGGGCACGGTCCTGGCAGGGCTGGCAGGGGGGCAGGGGTGAAGTTCTCCTCGGGCCTGTCCTGTGCGGGCTCCTGGGCACTGCCAGGTCCTGGCAGCTCTCACAGCCTCTTGTCCTTCACGAGGCCGTTCTTGAGGTGCAGCCTGGGGACAGCAGAGCCCGGGGTCAGCCCCGGCCCACAACAAAATCCCCTCCCTCCCTCCCTCCCTCCCCTGCTGGGGCCACTCCTGGATCCCTGGAATGTCCAAGGCCAGACCCTGGGATAGTGGGAAGTGTCCCAGTGGTGGCACTGGATGTGTTTTAGGATTTTCCAACCCAGAGCAGCCTGGAATTCCCTGTGTGTCCCCCCGGCCACGTACCCCTCCTTCAGAGCCCGGGGCACTGCGATCCCCGGCTCCTTCCCGGGATTTTTCCTGCTCTCCTCCACGTCGTATTCCCGGACATCGTTCACCTCCTGCATCTGCCCCAGCAGCACCTTGGCCACGAAGAGCACGATGTACTGGGGGGACAGGGGGACACAGAGCCTCAGGCACAGCCCCAGGCTGGGGTTTGGGATTTGGAGCAGAATTCCTGGAACTCCTTTTCCCTGATTTCACCCCGCGGGTGATGGGATCAGCCCCGCCCCATGGGGTCCCTCCTTCCCCGCGGGATGCAGGGAACATTCCCAGCCCGTTCACACCTCTCTCAAATTCCAGCTGCTCTTATCGCTCCCTCCCCGTGCAGCCCGGGGGTGTCAGACACTCTGAATGCCAAAGGGAGAATTCCCAGCCTTCCCTTCCCCCCTGAACACCAACCCAGGACCCCCCAAAACCCCCCAGATCCTCCCCCATCCCTGCAATGCCAGCAGGGGCAGTGAGCACAGAGGTGACCCCAAGGGGAGGGGACATTTCCTGCTGTCCCCAAGGGCACTTTGGGCAGGGCAGCTCCTCCAGGGGGGGATCGGGGTTGGGATCGGGATGAAGGACACAGACCCAGGAGCCCTGTGGGGTCTCAGGATCCCTGTGGGGTCTCAGGATCTCTATGGGGGATCCCTGTGGGGTCTCAGGAGCCCCGTGGGGTCTCAGGAGCCCCGTGGGGTCACGCACCAGGAACCAGTAGATGTTCATGAGGGTGAGCACGAGCAGCAGGCCGTTGAAGAAGAAGTAGAAGGGGATGTTGGGCACGGCCTGCAGGCTGCAGTGGCACGTGGCATACAGAACCTTCAGGGGAAACCAATAGAGACGGAACCAGAACCTGCGGGGACAGGACAGGCATGGGACAGGGATGGGGATGGGACAGGGATGGGACAGGGACAGGGATGGGACAGGGCAGGCATGGGACAGGGATGGGGATGGGGATGGGACAGGGATGGGGATGGGACAGGGCAGGCATGGGACAGGGACGGGGATGGGACAGGGACGGGGATGGGGATGGGGATGAGGATGAGGTGAGGACCAGGCCTCACCAGCTGAGGCTGAAGGCCAGGCAGCCGATGTTGGACACCACGTCGTTGAGGCGGTGGTAGGCGCCCCCGCGGTGTTTGAAGTAAACGTTGAGCTTGGTGAACTCGAGCTGGACATCATTGACATCGTGCAGGAACAGCACCAGGATCCCCACGTTGTGGTACCTGGGGAAAAAGGGGAAAAATGGGGGAAAATGGGGAAAATCGGGGGGAAAAAAAATGGGGAAAAATCGGGGGAAAAAATGGGGGAAAATGGGGAAAAATAGGGGGGAAAGGGTGGGGGGAAAACAGGGTGAGTGGGGAAAAAAAGCAGGAGAAAAAGGGGGAAGGAAAGGAGGGAAAAAAGGGGGGAAGGGGAGAAAAAATGGCAGAGGGGAAAAAGGCGGGAAAAAAGGGCGGGAAAAAAGGGCGGGAAAAAGGCAAAGGGAAAAGGGTGGGAAAAGCGTGAGGGGGAGAAAGGTGGGAGAAAGAAAGGGGGAGGAAAAGGGGGGAAAAAGGAATAAAAGGGAGAAAATCAGGGGGAAACACGGGGGGGAAAGGGGGAAAAAGGGGAAATCAGGGCAAAAAAGAGGGAAAAGGAGGGGGAAACAGGGAAAAAAAGGGGAAAAAGGGGAAAAGCAGTGAGCAGAGAGGGCTGTCAGCTCACAGCACCCCCTGTGAGAGCCAGGGATCCACACCTGGGGGGCAGGTTCCTGCAGGATCCCCCGGGTTTTGGGGTCACCACAGGACCCCGTGGATGCTGGGGCTCAGGAGATTCCTGAGGGATTCCCCCAGCACCCCCTGGATTTTGGGGTCACCACAGGATTCCATGGATGTCAGGATTCCCACAGGATCCCCTGGGTTTTGGGGCTCAGCCCAGCACCCCATGGATGTCGGGCTCACTGCAGGATTTCCACAGGATCCCGTGGATTTTGGGGGTCACTGCAGGATCCCCGCAGCACCCCATGGATGTTGGGATTCCCACAAGATCCCCTGGTTTTTGGGGCTCAGCCCAGCACCCCCCGGATTGTGGGGCTCACTGCGGGATCCCCCCAGCACCCCATGGATTTTGGAGCTCACTGCAGGATTTCCACAGAATCCTGTGGATTTTGGGGCTCATCCCAGCGCCCTGCGGGTCTCAGAGCTCACTGTGGTGTCCCTCCAGGATCCCCCGGTTCGGGGACACCCCCGTATTTCGGGGACACCCCCGGGTTTGGGGACACCCCCGGGTTTGGGGACACCCCCGTATTTCGGGCACTCCCCGTATTTCGGGGACACCCCCGGATTTCGGGGACACCCCCGGTTCGGGGACACCCCCGGTTCGGGGACACCCCCGTATTTCGGGGACACCCCCGGATTTCGGGCACTCCCCGGATTTCGGGGACACCCCCGTATTTCGGGCACTCCCCGGATTTCGGGCACCCCCCGGTTCGGGGGCTCACCGGAAGGCGTAGGAGGCGGCCAGCAGGGTCAGGGTGACGGCGTGGTGCAGCAGCATGACGGGCGAGTCGCGGCGCCACGTGTCCATGTAGGCGGCCGCGTACAGAGAGTGGCCGTAGAAGCTGCCCTGCAGCAGGTAGGCCAGAGCGATGTCTGCGGGCACCGCCATGCCCCGCCGCCAGCCTGACACACAATAAACACAC